ACATTTGTTTGTTGGTTACTGTTGAACCAGATTGGTACATTTGTTTGTTGCTTACTGATGAACCAGATCAGTACATTTGTTTGTTGGTTACTGTTGAACCAGATTTGAACATTTGTTTGTTAGTTACTGTTGAACCAGATTGGTACATTTGTGTTTTGGTTAATGTTGAACCAAATCGGTACATTTATTTGTATTTGTTACTATCAATTATAAATAAATCAAAGAAAGTATAGAATTTTTTGTTTAATGATATGAATTAGTGTATGTTTTATCCATTTATATTTATTCTAGTTTACTGATTTTATGAATAAATTCCCATCCTATTTTCAATTTTGATCATGAAGACCAAAAACAAATTCATCAAATGGTACATATCCGATCTAGTTCAATCTTATTTGTTGAATTTTTTCATTTCTTTTCCATTAATTTTTAAAGAGTGTGCAACATCATAATTTTAAAGGCTAATAAACAATCAATAAAAAAATATTAGTAATTGTGTGTTGTTCGTGTTTACGTTTCATATATATATAAATATTATAATTATATTGATCTGTTTCAATGATATTATTTCAATAATACTTTTATTTAAAAGTTTTATATTAACCAGGGTGTTTACTGTATTACTAATTCACTAATTAATAGTGTGATAATTTCCTGAGGAATATATAATCAAAAATTACTTTATCACTGTTTAACGTTGTATTTGCATATAATTGAAACATTCACTTGACAGAGTTTTATTGTTGTTCTTGTTTGTATAATCTTCAATAAAATTACATTTTGTAACTACTTCTCGTGAGTATTGTGAGTCTGAAGTGTTATTGTGGAATATTTACCAATCCTTTCTTGTCTATACTATCGAATCTCTCTAACCATTAAATCATACTTTCCGATTCTCCTTCATAAAACACTGTCCTAATACCACATGATCTACGGTTTTCATAGCGGTTTTTTGTCTACTTCGGTTAATTTTATGAAGATATTTGATTGTGCGGTTTCGTTTTCCATATTTGGCTTCACTGATCCTGACAAGGTGAAAGCAGTGCATGATTAGCCAACACCAGACAATGTGGAAGAGTTAAGAAGTTTTTTGGGAGTCTGTACCTATTACCGGAAGTTTGTGAAAGACTTTGCAACTATAGCTGATCCACTACATGATTTCACAAAAAAAGGCCAGAAGTTCGAATGGACAGTTTCTTGCCAGCATGCTTTCAAGACATTGAAAGAAAAATTGGCCTCAGCTCCACTTTTAAAGCTTCCAGAACATACTGGATTGTGATGCTAGTAATGTTGGTGAAAACGAACATGTGGTGGCCTACTTCAGTAGGGTTTTGAGT